TCCCTTGCATTTGCAGTACTTGCAACACTTGATCCCAGCTACCCTGCAGGGACACCCATTCTTGCGAGCACACTTGCCGCACGTGCAAGGATCTGGCAGGCCATCGGGTTTTGAGATGACAATTTCAGGGACTAACAAACTGCCCCTTCTTACAAAACCATAAGACTCGGCATTCATAATCAAAGTGGCATCTCTAAATGGGGCTTGGACCCACAGCTGCTGCTGGTGATAGGCTCTATGGATATGTTTGATTCCATTAGTTAAGGTGCAAGTGGTTCTCTCAAAGTCCATCTTGAGGGCATTGCTATCAAATGCGGCAAGACGCAGGTCGTCAAATGTCTTCAGGTCTGTTGATAGTTTGAGACATTTGACCAAGAATGTGATCGCTAGTTGTATTGCGCTTTCTGTTAGCTGTGGACAGTCGAAATTCAGGATCAGAGAGAAATTTTCCGTTTTGTGGACAGCGTTCAGGGCTGAAAGTTTAGTTGATACCTTGCTGGTTGTATCGCACCCAGTCAGCGCCTGGAGTGCTGGGAGACACTTAGACAGCTCGTCTCCCAGTGCTATGCAGATATCGTGGAGTGGTAATATTGATATTTTCACTCCTGAGTTGCGGATGAGACAGGTCTTGGAGGCCAAGATCTCTCCAATTGACTGTGATGTGGTATAACAGGCACACAAAGACATCTGTGTCACCTGATGACAGCATCATGGATGCAGCTCCTGACCGGTGACTTAGAATGTCCTGCACATGGAACATCATCCTGTCATCAGCTTCCTCATGTGTGCAGTTGAGCCAAGGAAATGGAGATGCACACCCAGCTGACACCATCCATGCCTGTGGTGATATACCAAGGTATAGAGGTTTGGTGCCTTGGTAATTGGTGGTGAGCCACTCAACATAGAATCCATGAAAAGCAGTTTTGCTGATGGAAGACGACCAAAAGTTCTCTAATACCACTGGCACATTTTGGTTCGGTGATATCGCATCAAGGACAACCATTTCTTTTGACTTTCCTCTTCTCTCCCTCTCTCCATTCTTGATGCTGTCCTCTCTGTAAGCGTCGAAAACGATGTGGATCTTATCACAGTTGTGCCCAGCTTTGGTGACCATAGATGTCAAGGCAATAGCAAAGTCATGGAATGTCTTGACAGGCGGATCAAGCTTCTT